GAGTAAATATTTAAGCCAGCCAAGTCACATGGCTATCTATTTTCTCAGGGAGAATGTGAAGCGATTCTTCTGGATCCACAGATCACGGACAGAGAACGAATCATTTTAATAGTTCACTGGGTCCTGAGAAGACAAAGTACAGGTTTGTGTGCAAATCACAACACACTTCATAAAATAAATAGTGAATTCACCATACAGCAAAAACGGACTGTCAATACTGTGTGACATCGATGTTTGGTGCCTGAGGAGATCTGAGGAGAATCTTCTAGCTCAACTCAATTTGGATAAAGGTTAAAAATTGATTTTAATCATGCCATTTGCAGGAAGGTGGATGTAACTAGAAGATCTCTTGTTAAGAGAAATAAGCCAAAACACAGGAAGATAAGTGTCACATGTTTTCTCTCATATATAAAAACCAAAAAATTATAAAAGACAATGCAAAAGTAGAAAAGGGAGTAATAGGATAAGGGAAGGGGAAGAGAACTGGGAGGAGTGGGAAGAGAGGAGAAGGCAGGAGAGGGTCATAGGGAGGGTGGGTACTATCAAAACTTGACATGCACTTGTACGGAAATGTCACAGTGCACTCTATTAATCTGTACATTAATAATTTATAATTCTGAAAATAAAATAAACCTGAAAGGTAAGTTTTTTTTAAAAGAAATAACGAAAGAAAGAAAAACTGATTTTGTGTGACCTCTGGCTTTCTTTTTTAATTTTTTGGTGGAGCTGCGTATCATACCCAGGGCCTCATGCATGTTGAACACACATTCTACCACCGAGCTACTCCCTGGCCACCACCATTCACCAACCCCACCAAAAAAAAAAAAAAAAAAAATTCAAATATAACCTGTCCTAAATCAAACAAACCTCAATCTAGTGAAACAAAAGCCACTCAGCAAAGAAACAAAGCCATAAAACAACGGTCCTGTAAATAAAGACTGAGCTACTAGTCAAAGGTCAGGCTCCACACTTGCTCACTGCAGAAGCGCCAGGCTCCTCAGTCATGCCTGTGAGGAGAGAGTGAGTGGCTTTCACTACTGAAAGGCCTCCCAACACAGGAGTAACCTTCCCCTGCAGAAGTGCTTTTCCCACCCTGAGACCTTCTGCAACTTCTAAGCCCATCTCTGACCCATTTAATGCAAAGGCAGTAGACTTAGGACTGAAAATGAACATAGACTCTCAGAGCTAGAAGTGACCTCAGCAGTCGCCCAGACCATAAGGCGACCATCTCTCCATGCAGAGAGGACAGTGTCTAGGGCAGGAGAAGAGAGAGAACCTGAAACTGTCTCCTCAAAGAAGAAAAAAAATGTCTGTGAGCCTTCTGTGCCTTTTAGGAACCTCATAGGCTTTCCTAGAGAGGGAGGTAATTCCCTGACACAGTTGAAAGAAGGAGGAATAAATGAAACAGGCTTAAATCAAGGTTCTCCGTCATTAGCAACTCTTACCCAGGCTCCACCATGAAGGAAACCCTGCAGAGAGGACTGTTGTGAAGCCACAAAGTTCAGACGCTACTGAGTTTTCAACAGGGAACAGAATTTAACACCAGGAGCAGAGAGGATTAGGGAGAGGAGACAGGAGGAAGTGAGATGCTAAGGAGACACAGCAGTGGTCTGTCTGTCCCCTCTGTGCAGGAGGAGGTGACCTTTCTTTGAGAGGGCGGCCAGGGCCCCTCAAGGCTGTGACTGAGCTCCTTGAGCAAGCCAGTCCTCCCAGCTGTCAGCCAGAGCTGCAAAACAATAGCATAGATTTGGAGGCTTAGGACCTTGCCCCTACTCTGGGAAACTGTTTCTTAACAGTGCCTGGTGCAAAAGGGCACCAATGTTTGCTAAACAAATACTAATATGTAGAATGATTCCTGTTTCCTACGGAGCCTAGGAGCAAGGCAATGGCAATGGCGGTGCAGCAGCAACACGAGGATGATATTCATGACTACTTTTATTAAGCTCTGGGCTCTCTCCTTTACCTAAAGCATCTCACTTGGAGCTCATCACATTGCCTGTGAGGTAATACTACTATATATGCCATTTAGAGACAAGGAAACTGAGGCTAGAGATTAAATAACTCACCCTAGGTCATACAGCTAGGAAGTCTGAGGCCTGGATCCCAGCCTGGGTCAAAGGATACAGAGACTTCACTGCCTCTGGACTCTGCTCCCCAGGACCAGTTGTCAAACACAGTTGCCATTGTGGATGGTTTTGGCAATAATGTATTTAAAAGAGAAACACAATTAGAAGTACTCAAGAAGAGTACTAATACCTTCCCAAGTGTTCAGATGATAAAAAAATTTTTAAGAATAAATATAAATTGTTATATGTGTACATTTATATGAACATGCATACTTGTGTATACACACACATACACATCATTTTTTTTTCTAGAATCATCCCTCATAGAGTCGGTCTTCAGTGACAGAGCCTGTAAAGATCTTATGTTGGATATTTTAGCTGGACACAGGGATGAGAATTTGGTAGTAACTTGGTTAACAGAATGAAGAAGATAAACTATTTACTTTTTGTGTTATTCAAACTTTTCTGGGAGCAAGTTAATTTTATTTAATAAGTGGATAAAGACTTACTGGCATAAATACATTTGATCATATTGGACGATGCTAATTAAAAAAAAAAAGCCTAAAAACTTACCAGATATCTAAAGACACCACAAAGAAAATCTTCTTGGGAGACCAATGTAGAAACAGACTCTAAAATCAAGTACTTAAGAAACTTTAATGATACCTCTCTTTGGAGATAGGGACATGAATGAACACACTAAAACTTGTTTCCATCCCTAAAGAGGAGGTTCCTCTATATCTATAAGTGTGGAGGCTTCCTTTACAATGACTTTAACTACAGAGCAAAGGCAACTAGTAAATTGAAATCTTTCTAAAGTTGTAAGGATCACCCACATTCTACAACTATTGCTTATGAAAAACTAAAACAGATTTAAATTAATGAGGCAATAAAATATTTCAAAAGTGCCAATATGTGTGGTTAGAAGTGCAAGGCTCTAGGTTCAATCCCCAGGACCCCCCCCCACACACACACACACATACATACAACCTGTGCATGATGCTATTTTAAAAATAATATTAATCGCGGGCTGGGGATTTGGCTCAAGCTGTAGCGCGCTCGCCTGGCATGCATGCGGCCTGGATTCGATCCTCAGCAGCACCACATACAAACAAAGATGTTGTGTCCGCCAAAAACTGAAAAATAAATATTGAAATTCTCTCTCTCTCTCTCTCTTTAAAAAAAAAATAATATTAATCTATCTAATAAAGAAAATAAGAAAGCAACACTCAAACACCAAGAAACTTTCACATGTTCTCTCACTAAATTAATCAGCCCAAAAGATTGATGATACCTCCCCCTGTCCCAAAGAGTAAACAGGCAGAGAAAATTAGGGAATCCCCCCAAGGTTAAACATTTAGTAAGTAAAAGAATTGGAATCTGTGGAATTCCAAAGCCATGTATTTTTCACTACTCCTTGCTTTACAAGGAAGAGGAAGGAGGGATGGATAGAAGGAAAGAAGGGAGGAAAAAAAGGGAAAGAAACAGTCCCGGCTGCTTTGCTATTGCACAAGGCCGGGTTTAGGATCCCAGAGGCCGACACAGGCTGAACCTGGAATTATTTCTGAAGGTGCCTCACAGAGGAAGACTTCTTTACTGAATCATTATTTTAAATCCTCAATCTAAAACAACCGAACAGAACAAAACCTCCCACTTTCATCACTAAGAAATAATAACAAGTGAACATGGGTATGAATTTTCTTAAAATAAAAATCAGAAGGAAAGCCTTAACAGAGCCAACCCTAAGCTCACACAGGTGGCATCTGAGCTGGCTGGGAGGTTGTTTGCCTCTCAGTAACCTACACAAAGAACCACTAAAAATTATCAAAGCCCAGCGACTAGACAATGACAAATGAACAAAGCGGATAGGGTTTCGCTCCCAAAATCAGAACAAGGAAGCCTCCACTACATAATAAAAATCATTAGGAGGCTTCAGAGGAGTAATTGCAGGCAGGCGTGACTTCTCCCCAGAAATTAATCAGCTAATAACCATTCATCATCTTTTGCGCAGTATATGCATTTATAATAGGGCTTTAAAAGGTCTACAACAATAGACTCAGAATTAATGAAAGGCATTTTAGGCCTAACCCAGAAATACTCCTTAGACGATGAGAATTAGAGCTTCTACGTCCCATTTTGTGCTGTTTTCCTTTTTATATGAGCTTCTGTTTCCTATTCACAGAGACTTTATCATGGTTTGTAGCTTTTGTTCCTTAAAGCAGTTAACCTCCGTCAGTAACCTTCTGTGTGCTGGTAACTGATGGTAAATAGTCTCCCAACACTCCACTAGCACTGTCCGGTTTAATTCTCGGAGGGAGTGCGGGGCAGAATTTTGAAGGCAACGCAACCAGTGAAGGGAGCGAATCCTTTCACGCCAACAAGGAGGGCAGTTTCCCGGAGAGGAATTCACTGGTGTCCGAGCTACCCAAGAAAGGGTAGGAGACCGCCGTAGGCACTGCGTGCAGGCCGAGGGGACTCACTGAGCGTGAATGTAGCCCGGGTTCCTTTTACTTTGGCGCGTTAATTCCCCTGCCCTGTTTTCGCATCCTCTCCGCACCTAGTCCTCCGCCTAGGCGGAGTCCGGGGATTTGTGCTTCGAGCTCCTCGGGCGGGGATTATGCGCGCACACCTCCCTTGGAGAAATTTCAAGGTTTTTCTTTCCTTTGGGCAGGGGAAGGGGTTTGGAGCTGTGGGAGGTTAAAGCAGTCGCTTTCTCATTGACATCTCCCGCCGCCGCCCAACAAGTGGCCCCTACACAAGCACAGAGATGACAGCGCCAGACGTCAAACTGGGGAGGGAACGGGATGGCCCGCGGCAGTGCCAGGGAGCTGGCGGACCTACCCTACGGCAACAGCAGTCCTTTTCCCCATCCCGTCCCCCACCTCGCATTAAAACTCATTAAAACTCAAGGAAAATGTCAAGGGCTGGGGGTACCTGGCCCTGAAGCAGGAGTCGCGGAGGCGATCGATTTCACCCCCACCTCCATCCCTCTCGCAGGTGCGGCGGAGGCTTGATACATTTGGCCTTAAATTCAGTTTCCAAGCCGTCGGCATCCGCCCCAGGAAGGCATCCCTGCAGAACCTGGCAACTGGGGTACTCCCAGAGAGGGGGCGTCCACTGCAGGGCAGCCAGCGGCACTCCAAAGCCCTGGCTGACTTAACACCTTGGAGCTCAACCCCGGGCCGGCGGCGTATGGCAAACCAACGAAAAACTCTTAACAGCTTCCGCAAGTTCTCGCCCCGGGAAAGGTGAAAATCCCAAAGACCTCTTCACAGAGGAGTCTGCCTTCCCCGAGGGTGCGAAGGCTCCTGGCACCCCCAACACAAATCCCACCCTTGCAGGCTCGGAAGTCCAGGGGGCCGACAGCTGCTTTCACCGCATCTGGGATCCCTGGAGTCTGCTGGCCCGGGGACCACCATCGGTGCCGGGGGACCTTGGCAGGCTGACTGGACTGGGGAGTCAGGGGGCCCCGGCGCCGCGCTCCTCTTACCTAGCGTTCGCTGGGCCCCGGTTGGGGCGGCGCGCACCCGGCGGATGCCCCCTGCAGCCGCGCTAGCGCTTCATGGCGCACGGGGGCTGGCCGGGGGCCCCGGGAAGCGTGTCCAGCTGGCGGCGACTCCTCCGGCTGCCGTGGCTCGCCAATGGCTCCCGCCTTCCCCCGCCCCGCGTCAGTGCGCCCTTCCTCTACGGCCGCCCTTTTCCCCTGGCTCTGCCGGACCGGCCAAACTGGTTTCTCTGCTCCAGGGAGGAGCCTCTCGTCTCCCTCCGGCAGGCGCAACCGCGGCGCGCGGCTGGGGATGAGGCTGAAGCTGAGGCTGGGGCTGGGGCTGGGGGCGGGCCAGGCCGTCTGTCCTTCCTCTACCCCTCCCACAGGCGGCCCTAGGGTTGGCAAGAGCGGCCCAAGTCGAGTCTTGCGTCCTTCGTGCGTCCCGGCGGCAGGTGAGCACCCTGATGGTGCCCGGAGCGCGCCCTCCCGCTTCTCCTAGCCTGTGACTCGGCAGCTGCTGTCGCTCACTGTACCCCAGGCGCTCCAGTCCCTGGGCTGCAGTCACCACCCCGCCCCATCAATTCCGCGTCACTTTCCCGCCCTCTGCCGGCTTGGTCACAGCTTGGGGTCGGTGACCGCGCCAGCCTGGAAAGCTGGCGGGGCCTCCGCGCCCGGAACCTGAACTCCCTCTGTAAGGGGAGCCGTGTTCCCGGACCAGTCACCCAGTGCGCGTCGCGGTTCGCAGCGCCAAGGGTAGGAGTAGAGAGGACGCCGAAAGACGTGGAGACAATTTTTCCTTTAATTGCAGCAAGTGGACTAGACTCTACTGAGACCAAAGTCGCTCGGAGTTAAGGTGCTGTGTGTGAACTACGCAATGTAGTTGGTGATTTTGGATCTGCCTGCCTCCTTCGTTGCTGGTTGGTGTTTGTAGTATGAATCGTGCTTTCCCGCAGCAAGTACAGTTCACGCCTTTCACCGGTTAACTCCCAGTTCGCTAGGTTCTTACTGTGCACTTGCTATGGACAAGTCACTGGTGTCAGAATCGAGGAAAGTCAATGGTTTGAATTTGCTTAAGGGCTGAGGATGTAGCTCAGAGCGCTTGCTTAGCGTGGCCGTGGGTTCAAGCCTGAGCGCTGCAAGAAGAAAAATTACTTTCAATGCTGTAAAGGAGATAGGTCTCCTGGACAAATATCAGTTACCTGCAAATCAGAGAGGCTGACTTCCTGCCTTAGTTCAAGCTCCCAACTGGTAGCATTAAGGAGGCTTTTACTGAAGAGGTGAAACCTACAACTTTAGGGATGGAAGCTGGGTGGAGAGGGCTGTTCAAATGTCCACTGACTGATCCAACTCATATTGTTAAAGCTCAAGACTGCCCCAAGGTTCCTTTTCATCTGTCGCATTGATCTTTGGTGTTGCTGGTTAGTCTTTTTCTCTCTCTTCATTTGTAAAATGAAGTTGCACTAGATGATCTCAAGAAGTTCCTTCCAGCACTTATTTTCTGAACCTAATAACTGAGCAAAGGGGCTGAAGCAAGAGAACAGAGGGTCTGTGCAACGACAGTGGAGTGCACAGGTCTGTCGGCAGTGTGGTGGTGAAGGATGAGGCCAGTGAACACACTGGGCCCCAGCGCCTTGAGTGCAAGGCTCAGGAGTTGTCTTGGTAGTGTGGGTGACCACTGAAAGTTCATGACCACTGCAGTGACATGATCAAAGTTGCGTTTTAGAGAAAAGAATAGCTAAGAATGAAGATGACCATATCACCTGGGAGGCTAGTTTAGCAACATAAAGTGGGTCTGAAGGGGCTGCCAGTGGAAGGCAGGAGGAGGAGATTCAACCCACATCACTGGAGAGAAATGGGCAGGGAACTGAGTGGCCCAAAATTGTGTCCAACTGGCAGAAGGGAGCCTGGAAGATGAGTCAAATTCTCAAGATTGGGTGAAGGCATGGTAGGAAGAGCAGAGGCAGAATGAAGAAAGCCATTAGGAAGCTCTGCCCCTATGGGGGAAAAGACCAGCAAACCTGCAACTATAGCAGGCAATGGAGATGGCTCAGTGGTAGAGCATTTGTCTAGTGTGCACAAGGTCCAGGGTTTTATCCCCAGCAACCACCCACTCAAAAGAGAGAACTCCAAATTAAAAGAGGGATCTTCTTCTTGCAGCTTCATTTATAAGTATTCAATCTGTGCAAGAAAAAGTTGCTTAGAAGAGAATACACTAGGATACATTCAATCCACACCTCAGAGCAGCTACACCCCACCCCAGTGGCTACTTTTAACATGGCTGTGCAGATACCAGAGATTTCAAGCTAGGTTTCTTTCCCCTTACAGGCTACAGTGGAGGGGAGGTGTGGATATTGTTTCAAAGATTAATTCATTCAACAACTATTTGTTGAGTACCTACTATGTGCCAACACTTTCTGGTTGCTTAGGTACAACTGAACCAAAAAAAAAAAAATGTTACCTTAAAAGATAGAAAGTGCTTTGAGAAAATAGAATAGACCTGATTGGGAAGGTACCCTGAACAATTCTTCTTTGGGGGTGCTAGGAAAATTCCAGCTCACCTGAAGTCCTGTCCTTTGTCCCCTTGTCCTCTCTGAAAGGACATGCAAAATTTCGGAGTGCCTTGTCTGGTCAATCATTGAAATTATCTCATGCATGCAGCAAGGATTAATTTTGAAATGTCTTTCATGAGTCACTGAGAGATGGCTTCTTTGTCTTGGCAGAGCCTCTATCTCACTTGCCTCAGCAATTCTTTCTCAGTGTTCTCCAGTGAGACTGAACAAGCAAGCACTCTGGTGTTATTTAGATGCCTCTCCCATTCAGTAGTCTACACCTTACAAGCTGCTGGGGGAAACTGAGATTTAGCAGAAGCAGCTATTTCTAAAAGAATGCCGCAATGCTTTAAGCTTTTGTAGTTCATAATTTCCTGGAACTTGTTTCTTTTTCCCCTTTTTTTGGCAACATGTGCACATTTACATGAGGTGGATAAAAAGGCTGGAGTGATTGCCAAGAGAACTACTTCAATTTTACTGAAAATTTTTTCTAGATTTTTTTTTCTTCTGCAAGATAAGAGCTGGGGATAAAAGATGAACTGAAAGGGAGGTGATATTACCTGTATTCAGTTGTTTACTAGCATTGTTCATTTAAGCTAAATCATTTAATGCCAATGGAAAGATATTTGGGCCCACTAAGTGCCATTGTTAACCCTAAGGTGGCAGTCAAGATTAACTCAGTTGCAAGTTGAATTCTTCATAGCCATTGCCCAGACTAGCTTTGGAATTTTATTCTTTTGTTTTATGGGGTGCAAGGGATTGAACCCAGGGTTTCCTACATGCTAGGCATGAGCTCTTCCTTTAAACTATACCCCAGTTCCAAGTATTTTTTTCTTCTGGTAATATGAATTGAACCCAAAGACTCACTCATGCTAGACAAGGGCTATACCACTGAGCTACATCCCTAGCCCTTTTTATTTTTATACTGTAATAGAGTCTCACTAAGTTGCCTAGGATGGCCTCAAACTTTTGTGATCCTCTTGTCTAGTTTCCTATGCCTGGTCAGTTCCAAAAATTTTAAATATAGAGGGCATTTCTTACATGAACCTATCTTTGCAATGGTTGGTATTTTAAGCTTCAATTCTGTGTGCTTCCTTTAAAATGGTGTTTACAAATGATAGATACAGATGATATATTCTGTTGTCTCTTTCACAAATAACTTTCCACACTTCTCCTGATGACGTAAACTTTCTACTCCTTTACCACTATTTTTTGTAACTAACATTTAAAAAAAAAACATATATATTAGATTACATGCTTGATGCAGTGGTGCATGCCAGTAATCCCAGCTATTCAGGAGGCTGAGGCTGGAGAATCACAAAAGTTTGAGGTTAGCCTGGGCAACTTAGTGAGATCCTGTCTCCAATTTTTTTTTTTTTAATGGGCTGAGGTGTAGCTCAATGGCAAAGTACCTTTTTAGCATGCATGAGGTCCTGATTTTAAATCTCCAATACTAGAAATAAAATTAAAATAGATAATAAAAGAAACACTAGCATTCAGGGAACTAAGTGTGTCTCAGTTATTTTGGCAATGGTCCAGGCTTAGAATGCATGAGATGATGTTGAGAAAGGAATTAGTCCTGAGTATTCTATTAAAAGTCATTTCTCTTTCATAATCATAAATATATAAATATGTAGAATTCATATACAGTTCTTCTTTTCTATAAGGAAGAGATTTAGTAAACCATTATTGTCTGTGTGGAAATGTAATGAACATTAGATTAACCTGGAATTGATAATATAACGTCAGTTAAACTTACCATTATTAATTCAACATTTACTTAAGAATTTCCAAACTATATTATGATCATCATTAGGACATGTTACCATGTTCTATAGTTATAAACAATCTGTCATATTATCTGGTGTTCTGTTTTCATAAGTTTGCATTATATCACGAAAACATATTGACCTTCATCTCTCATTCTTTCTAAGCTACTTCTAATGGTCCCCAGGATTTTTGAAAAACTTTTTTATTTGTTCTTTGTAGTTATATGTGACAGAACAATGTATTTTGACATATCATTCACAGATGGAATATAACTTCCCATTATTGGGATTGTACATGATGTGGAGTTTCACTGGCTGTGTTCATATATGAACATAGGAAAGTTATGTCCAATTCATTCTACTATCTTTCCAATTTCCATCCCCCTCCCTTGCCTCCACTCCCCCTACCTCTAATCTAGTGAACCTCCCCTCCTCCTTCTTCCCAACAGATTTTGAGTGAGCATCTGCATATCAGAGAGAACATTTGGCCTTTGGTTTTTATCGGATTGGTTTATTTCGCTTAGCATGATAGTCTCCAGTTCCATCCCTTTACCAGAAAATGCCATAATTTCATTCTTCTTTATGGCTGAGTAATATTCTATTGTGTATATATACCACATTTTCTTTATCCATTCATCTGTTGAAGGCACC